GGGTTTCGGGTGTAGGGTTTAAGGGTTTAGGGGTATATTTACTGTATGATATACCCAGGGGCTCCTATGTAGTTCCTTTTTGGATAGTATAGTATAATTCCTTACCAAAAAACCATAACAAACCCAAAACGGAACTACTGTGGAGCCTCTGGGTAGTGAAGCAAGGGAGCCCGAAGGATTGCCAGCTTGCGAATATGTTTTGGGGGTTTCGGGGCACAGGGTTCGGGTGTGGGGCTTTGGGTTTAGCAGGTTAAAGTCCCCAAAAGGGTCTCATATTACGAATAGATACTATGATTTGGGAAAGTACCCAGAGACTCCAATATCCCTTAATTAAGGCATCTGCCTTAAATTATAGTAGGCTCCTTAATATGATTTAAGGTATATTCCTTAATTAAGGGATATTGGAGTCTCTGGGTATTCCCCATAACAGTACCTCGGACCCCATGGGAGTGGGCAGCCAGGCGAGTCTTCAGCCCCTCCCCCGGTGCTTAGGAGCAGTTAACAACTAACTGCTTGGGGTGCTAGAGTTCCTACATAATCCCAATATAATCCCTATATAATCCCAATATAATCCCTATTTTATAGTCCGTATATACGGCCGAAGGTTAACTAGCCTGTACACCTGTAGTCTCCATTGTAGTTCCTTTTTGGAGATACCTTATAAAATCCTTAATAGATAATTGGTTAAACCACAAAAAGGAACTACAATGGAGACTTTAGGTAGAACCCCTAAACCCTAAACCCTAAACCCTAAACCCTAAAGTTTATATAGCTCTTGGAGGATCCTGGACCAGAAAAATCCTGGAGGCCCTAAGTTCGAGGGCCTCTCCGGCCGGAGGAGCTGCCGGCTCGAGACCAAAGTTCGAGCTTAAACGCTCGGAGCGCGGGTTTAGGGTCTAACGTTTTGGGTTTTGTGGGTTTTCGGGTTTTGGGGTTTCCGGTTTAGGGTGTTGGGGTTTGGGGTTTAGGGTTTTGGGTTTAGCCTGAACCCTCAACCTAAACCCTATCAGCCCTAAGCCCATCTGAACCCTAAGCCCTGTAAACCCTAGCTTGTTGCAAGGAATCTCGACGGAAGGGCGGGACAGACGAACTTTGTCAGGCGTACATACTGCTTGTGATGGTGGATCCATCAGAAGACCCGCCCGGGAGCATGAGACGTGAAGCTAAATGGGACTTTCCGAAGATTTGGGTACCTTATTTTGGGGTCCTTATAATAAGGATCCTATTATTTAGGGTACTATATTAGGGTCCCCTATTTTCGGAAACCCCCAAATGCATCAGGAGGTTGGTGCGGCTCTGTTGGCTTAAGGTTCTAGATGTCTTACACGTGGGGACCATCTCATAGAAGTACTGTGGATTTGAACACTGTTCTGCGGCAGAGGTAGATCCCGTTCTGCAAAACATGAAGAATTTCTCATCACCGCAAGCCTGCACACTAGGCCCGAAAGCATCAAACACACTATAGATGTTCGATAAACAGCAGTAGTATCTTCTTATGACGCCATATAGTTGTACTCCAATATACCACTAAGCACCGTGCTACTTCTTGAGGCTACCAAGTTTTACTTCTTTAGGCTCCGAGTTCCCGTGAGCCAAGCATCTGTTCCGAGCCAAGGCCAGTACAGCATCTTGGCTTTGTTTTGTTTGGGGGATTCGGTTTAGGGTTTAGGGTTTAGGGTCAATCGTTCTTCGAAGGATCTGCGAGACGCACTGTGGTCATCTTCTGCGCCCATGAAGCTCATCGTGATTGCGAATGATCATCGCAGAAGTAATCAGACAGGTTGCTACTGGTCTTAACCCTAAACCCGAAACCCTAAACCCTAATCTCTGCACGTACTGCGTCTAAGAGTTGCCAGCCTTGCGATGCACATTTGAGGCCGAAGTCGGAGGTACTGGTTTCGAGTCCACGTGCACCAGGCACGGTGCAATGATAGGAGCCGTTTTGGGTACAGCGGGTACTATAGGGTATACTGTTCCTCAGGGTTCCTGAATAATCTAGTTACAATGCTACCCCCACTATGTACAGACTTGGGCTTGGGGGCTTACTTAGAGGATGTGGGGATGGAAAGCTGTGTCTGCTGGAAGCAGCATCCCGGTTTCCCCAACCATATATGGTATGTATATTTTTAGATATGTGTGTGTATGTATATATATATATATACGCATGTACGTACAACACGTATGTGTTTTGTATTCGTGTATATATACATTTGCACATACTGTTTGCGGTGAATTTACGTATGTATATATTTGTATATATATATATATAGAGAGAGAGAGAGAGAAAAAAAAAGAGATTTGTATAGTATACCTTCGCCGGCCAAGTCAGGGAGATGGCGGCGTGTTGCAATGACAGCTGCGCCAAGCCGGGTCAGCCTTCCGTGCCGTTTCTCCCGGATGGACGTGGCACCAGCGGCGCGTTGCCCTAAACCCTAAACCCTAAGCCCAATATTACTGAGTTGCGAAGCAGTTCCAGCCTGGACGATGCTGGTCATCTTTCTCGAAGGGTCTAAGTACCCATCTAGGGGTTTCCGAAAATAAGGGGTACCTTACTTTGGGGTCCTTATAATAAGGAACCGACTATTTAGGGTACTATATTAGGGTCCCCTATTTTCGGAAACCCCCATATAGTAGATACTTTGTGCCCCAAAGTACCTACCATATAAGTACTTAGACCCTTTGGGTTTCTGAGCCACCAGCGTCATTGGAGGCGCAGTGAAGGCGCCAAGGCCTTTGGCTGAGTTCAAAGGCTTGTCAGAAGCCTCGCCAAACCACCGCACCGCAACATGCAAAGAGTAAGTTAGACATAGGGATACATAGGGATACATAGGGAAATCAGTACCTCATTTGGTGCACGGTTCAGGGTTCAGGGTTTCCAAGGCTTAGGGTCTGGGTGTTAAGTGCTCTGACTTTCAATTTGCAGTGTAGGGTTTCAGGCTTCACGAGTCTATGGCTAGGGCTTAATATAGAGGTCTGACCAAAATCATTCGTCTCATGCTCTCAGGAAATAGTCATATACCCTAAACCCTAAACCCTAAACCCTAAACCCTAAACCCTAAACCCCTAAACCCTAAACCCCTAAACTATACTATGCCCACAAGCTTGCGCTTGAGTCTGAAGGCCCCCACCCATATTCTAGAACCCCTTTAAAGAACCCCTATCGGAGCCTTGGTTTTTCAAGTTCTCAAGCCCCCTTTAGCATCACCATGTGCATTGTTCGCCTTTGGCATTGTTCTTCCAGCATTTTTTTTTTGTGCCGTTGAGGGTGTTGGGGATTTTGGGGGTCTGAGGTTTAGGGCTTAGGGTCTATGGTTTAGGGTCGGGTTTGTCTAGCACCGGGAGCGTTCTGTCGTGCTTTGGGGGTTTCGTGCTTACTTGGAGCATGTTGGAGCCTGGGGGTCGCCAGGCATTGGCAATGCGAGATTGGCACTTCGCTCTGCTCACATGCGGCAAGGTGGAGCAGGACAGCTTCCTGCAGCCCCAAAGTTAGTCTAAGATCCGGAAATAGCACCTTCATGCACGGATGTAGCACTTAAAGTCTTGCTTCAACCCCCTTTCCCTTGCTCCAAGACTCAAGGCAGGGCTGAGAGTGTGTTCAGGGCTTTGGGTTGAGGGGTTTAGGACCACTGCTTGGTTTCGGGTGGAGGGGTTTATCGGCTGAGGTTTTGAAACCGGAGGGTTCGGGATGTAGGCACCTGGTAGGAGCATTTGGGGTGTAGGGTTTCGGGTTAAGGGTTTGGGGTTTAGGGCAACCCTAAACCCTAAACCCCAAACCCTTAACCCCTAAACCCCTAAACCCTAAGCTTAAACCCCTAAACCCTAAACCCCTACGGTTTCGGGTTTAGGGTTTTGGTAGGATCTTCCGGCGGTCCGATCCGGCTTGATACTTGAAATTCAAGGTAGACCTTAAGAACCCAAGGCCTACTTTTTTGTAGGGTCCCTATAAATCCCATATTAGGGTTTATAATAAGAACCTACAAAAAATGGGGTTTTGGGTTCTTAAGGTAGACAGTAGCAGGCTTCGTTACGGGATGAGTTTCCTTGCCTTCACAAACCTGTGAACGTCGCTGTTGTCGTAAAGGTCATAAAGCATGGCTCGTGAAGCTCTGCTGCTCACATTATAAGCCGTACCTGTGGATCCTGGACCCTACTGTTCATATGAAGTGTTACTGTCTATAAGCCTATAACTATAGGGTTATAACTTCTAACTAACCAACCTACCATTTTCTATTGGTTTGGGACTATAGGCAAACTCTGCATCCGAACACCTGAAACCTACGCCCAAGTACAGTGCGACGTGGGTGGTTGTCAAAAAATATGGTCCCTTTTTGGGTCCTTATTATAATACGGCACCTATTATTTAGGGTACCCCAAAAGGGACCATAATTTTGACAACTACCCATATAGATATAGATACAGATATAGCTGCAAGAACGCACGGACCCGCCAAT